CGGAGTTAGTAGCGGAGCCAGAAATTTTATTAAGAATGTCTAAAAATAATGGTGTGTGACTGGTAAATAAAATTTAAAAATATTGTGCTATTTAGGGTTCAAACCTAAAATTCCTTCATTCAAATAGACATATATTACCACTACGTTAAAGACATAATTTTTATCAAAAATATCCAGCTTTAAATATATATCATTTAAATATAGAATTTGACATATTTATAATTACGACAAAATAGCTATACCTACGCCACTGGACAGAACCATCTTAAGCGAAGAATACTCTAATGTATATTGTTCATCAAAAAAATATATGATATACAAAAATTAAATAACAATTATAATAAATACATTTTTAATTTTACACATCCTTAACAATTAACACAATTCAAAAAGGAAATTTGCATATTCTTTATTAAATTCCTGACCCTACCATGAAAATAATAGCTAGTCACTACTCAGTATACTACAAATATAAACCCCTTCTCGTGTATTTAGTAAAATTTCTTTTATTAATTTTACGTATAAATTAAGTCATAAAAATTATTATTTTTTATATTAAAGTATTTCAACTTTACGGACCATAACTATAAATTGAAAATTTATTTTTGTCAAATTAGAGTAACTGAATTTATTTTGCCGAAATGTTGATTTTTTGACGTAGAATTTTCATATTTGTTCTCTTTATTTTGGCATTTGAGTGCTTCTTTTCTGTCTTCTGCTTTACAAATATGGATAAGTTAAGAAAATTACACGTGAATCTTTTATTTTTTGTCTTTTGCTTTGGTATTTATACTTACTTTTTATATAATTTAGACAAAATCAATAATTATAGTAGGAGAAAAATATTTTTTTTTAAAAATCTTTTGATATACTGTAATGAATTACATTCAATTATATTTTATATGATAATATAATATTTTATGACTCTAGTCTTATAACGAGAAAAGTTCATGGCCATACACAAATTAATCAGAGTGTCTCCTTGTTAGAAAATACTACCCCCTCAATTTTAATTTATATGATTTTTTTTAGTAAGTTTAAAAAGAAATAATATTTTCTTTATTTAGTAGTAATTTAATTTTAAAATATATATTTATTTTTCATGAAATAATTTATAACTATACAAATATCTATGACTTATTATAAATCACAATTTAAAAAAAAAAAAAATTAAAACTTCATGTCAAAATAAATTACATTAAATAAATTGAACCAAATAATAATAGTAATAATAAGAAGAAGAAGAAGAAGAAGAAGAAGAAGTAAGTTCTATAAAAACGGAATTAATTAAACAGTTCATACAGTAACTTGGGGTTGGGGGGGGAGGGGGGGGGGGGTGTTTACCACTTATTTTTATGCCAAAACTAGCCGTGTGAATGTTATTTATTTCCCCTTCTTACATCTTAAATAAAATGATAATTTTATCAAATTAATTTTTTAAATATAATAAATTTAATATCTCTAAAAATATTTATAGTTAATAGTAAGAAAAAAATAAAAAATTTAATAGTAAATCATTTTTTGATTTTTTCAATTGAACAAGTAAAATTTGATATTTATTTTTAGTATAATAAACAAGTAAAAATGATCATCTATTTTTAAGTATACAATGGACGAAGTGAAAATGAATCCAAAGAGTAATTCAAAAAATTTAGTAAAAAATCTTAATATATCAATTGATTAACTATTTGAGTTTTCATCTAATTCACGAGAGTGTTTTTATCATCCAATCTTCTCTACCCATCACACCCCCTACCCCTAGTCTCTCTGACATAGAGGAGGAGCCAAGATAAAGAGTTTAAGATTTTAAATTTACTTTAGAATCGTTAATCAATTTTGTTAGAAGTTCATAAATTAATATACATATATATATTTAATTAATTTTTTAGTATAAATATAAAATTTACAAAAAAATTATCGAGTTCGTCTGAATCTACAAACCTCTATCTAACTCCGTCTTAGGTATCAATTTTTGAAGTTACAAAAAAATGTGTTTTAGTAGTTTGCGAAAAAAACCCAAGAGTGGAAAATCAAAAGAAGACGGAAGAAAGTGAGGCGAAGCTGAATAAGACAAACGGGACACGTGTTTAGCCTTTGAAAATAAAGGGACACGTTATTTATCGTGCTTCCATAACTGCAACCTTTTTAACCTTGCTCCTTCCACTAAATTCACGCTTACTAAAATGTTTTTAAAAAATAAATAAATTACGCTTACTAAAAAGTTATTATTAATTAAATAATTTATTTCCATTTCATATGAACCCGTTGTGACCAATGATTAATGAAATAATTCAAACGAAGCTAATTATAAAATCAAATTACTTTATCACCAAGGTGGTAGTAATAAAATGAGGAATGTTTAAGGTAAGATTATGCAAAATAGAAAGCATTTAATTTATATTAGGTACTATAGTTATAGTTTAAATTGTAATTCACGGTTACAGTTTCTTTAATTTTTGTCATTCGCCTGATTTTTATAAATTCAGAATTTATATAATTCGATTCATGATTGTATAAATTGAGAATTGTGTATATGTTTACCCTAACTATTTGTATACAATTTATAAAAAATTCATAACAAATTATCATATTTATATTTATATATTGGCAAGCGAAATATACAAACAGAGTTTTGAAAAATTCTTAAATGTATAAATACAGAATTTGTAGATATTTATCATATTTGTATATGCGCAAACAAAATATACAAATGGGCAAAAATACATATATTGTAGCCTCCATAGCAAATAAAATTATAACTATAAATTGCAATTATTAAAACTATAATTATAAAACCTTATTATATCTATTATATTTGTTATTTCTAAAATTTTCTCCAATATTTAATTTAATTTTCTTGGGGGCTGGAATTGGTAGACTTTTGGTGGTAGTGGAATTCGTTTGACTAACTAGGTTCTATACCTATTAAAAAGGATTTTTTTATAATATAGTATAGAAAAAGAAAATACAAGTCAATTGTAGATGCTCAAGGTGGAGTATTCAATTGGAAGTCATCTTAACTCGAAATGCTTTCCTATTAATCAAGATACTTTAAATTGGAATTTGGATGATAATTATGTTATCATTTTTATTATGTGGAGTATCAATTAATAGGATCCGGCTCGTCTCCATTTCTCTTCTCTTCATTTTCCCCAAGTTCTAACTTAGATCGGAGACACATGTCATAGTTTAGAATTAATGATTGATATTTAATTGATTAAAACAAAGTCCTAGCCATAGTTATTTACTTCCATATATTTACTTCTTAAATATTTTTGCAATCATTATATTTTCCCTAAATATATTAAAAACTTTTCTTTACTGCCCTGCATATATATTTAAAACTTACTAAATACTTTTACTTTTTTGAAAAAAATTATAATACAGTTAAATATTTTTATTATTCTAATAGAGTTTTAGGAGCTATAGTGTCTATAGAGCAATATGGACTCCATTTAGGGAGTTAGAAATAATTTAAAGTTGTTTGACAAGATTTATTTTACTCCTAAAATAAATAAAAAATGCTAGGTCACAATTTTTAATTTTTTATTTGGCAAATATTATTTGTGAAATGGCAAACGTTAGGTAAAAAAGTAAAAAATCAGCAAAAAATTACTTAAGTAATTAAGAAAATAAATTCTTTTAAATACATTTAGGAAAAATATAATGTAAATCTAGAATTGTTGGATTGCAAAAATATTTAAGAAGCAAATATATGGAAGTAAATAACTATGGTTAAAACTTTATTCTAATCAATTAGATCTCAACCATTAATTCTAAACTATGACATGTGTCTTCAATTCAAACTAGAACTTGGGAAAAATGGAGAGAATAGAAATGGAGAGGAACCGAATCCAACTAGTACTTATTATAGAAAAATCTATTTATATCATATGATTGTCTAAATATGTTTTCACTATCAATAATATATAACTTAAATTTTAATTAAAAATATTATTATAAGAAAATGTCTAATTAAAGTACAACGTGCTTAGGACACCACACTAGACCAAGAGCTAGCTATTACTTGATTCTGTTTAACCTTTTTAACGCTCTGCCGCATGATTTCTCAAAACTCAAATGAAAGAAATATTGCCAGAAATACTTACTTCCTCAATTTCAATTTATTTATTCTATTTTAATTTGACAAAAAATTTAAGAAGATAAAATTAAAATTAAATCTTATCATTATGAACTAAAAATGTGTTAAATATATTAAAATATCTTAAAATTTAATTTATTATGAACTTAAAAGAAAAATAAAACAGATAAATTGGGTCAGAGAGTGTCTAGATATATATATAAACACACTATCTCTATTCAAACAAATAAAACACTTTTTTTTATAATTCTAAAATAGTGACATATTCTTATATTTAAGTAATAATCAACTTTAAAATATCTATTTTATTTTTAATAAAATAAATTATAATCACATAAATATTTATGACTTATTTTAAATTACAAGTTTCAATTTTTTTTCTTTCTTAAACATTATGCTCAGTCTAACACCTTTACAAAAATTGAGACAAGGGAGAACTGACTAAATTAATTTCAACTACTATTCATTTGTTTTTATTTATGTTAATTACTTTCTCCCCCATCAATTTTTTTGTCTTACTATTCTTTTTAGTTTGTTACAAAATGAATACTCCATCTCTTTTCTTTTTGATAACTTGTTAATTTCAACTTTCAACCTGTCATATGTAAAACTACAAATTAAATGACATTTTGATATGTTTTACATATTTTAGTTTAAGACAAGATCAAAAAATCTTCTTTACTTACTTCAATTTTATGTCAAATCAAAATAGACCAAAAAAAAAAAAGTAATTACTTTAAATAAATTAAAATAGTATTGAACGCCGTGAGGTATGGTAGCTATAAATATATAGAGATTCTTGAGTTCCATTCTCCAAAATCAACACAAGCCACATATTATAGGAATATGAGTAGTCAACTTTCTCTTTATTATTTCACTACAATTAGTCTTTGAATATATGGGTGTAGGAAACTCACCATGTGCTTCATGTAAGCTGCTGAGACGCCGTTGCGCCAAGGACTGCATATTTTCTCCTTACTTCCCTTGTGATGATCCTCACAAATTTGCCATTGTTCATAAGGTCTTTGGCGCCAGCAATATCAGCAAAATGTTACAGGTACGTCGATAATAACGATGCTTGTTGTTAAAATAGATCTTAATTAGGCCTAACTCACCCTCCAAAAGTTAGCTCAAAGGGAAGAGGATTGTCTAAGTTTTATTGGGAGTTTATCCATCTCATTAACAATCAATGTGGACTTTTGTCATTCTTTAACACTCACCTCACGCCCAGAGTTTAGCATCTGGTTTGAATTTTTTTTTGGGCCCCAACATTGTGTGAGATGAGCCTACTCTGATACTTGTAATGGACTAAATTTGGTCCAACGGACTCTTCTTAACAATGAGGTTGAAGAGTTAAGGTTGAGATGAAGTGTCAAAATGAAAATTTGAGGCGCACAAATTAGAGGGGTTGTCTATATATGTATTTGACCTATCTTAATTAAATTGCAACATACACATATGGTTACACATTTGTACATGGTATTAGAGCACATAAAGGTTTTGAAATCGAATCTCACCACTATCTGTTTCCAACCGTTTGAAAATATAATTAACTAATAAAAATGTGATTTTCTAACGGCTTTCTCTCAGGAGGTTCCGGCGAATGAAAGAGCGGATGCAGTGAGCAGTTTAGTGTATGAAGCAAATGCAAGAATGAGAGACCCTGTATATGGCTGTGTGGGTGCAATATCCTATTTGCAGAACCAGGTCACCCAGTTGCAAATGCAGCTAGCAATGGCTCAAGCTGAAATACTTTGCATCCAAATGCAATCTGAGCCACCACAAGTAGCAGCAGCAGCAGCAGCAGCTTTTCCCATGACACCAGCTAATCAATTAGTACCAAATGATCATGACATTGACAAATCCTTTTTTCTCTCAGATCAGTACCTCAACTTTGACTCTACCTCCCATAAATGTTGTAATTCTCAAGATGGACTCTTTCTTTGGAGATAATCAAAACAAAATCTCACTTTTAGATGCTGCTTCATTAATAGTTTTGTTTTTTTTAATCACTTAGAATTTATGTTGGTCAAAATACATATACTGTTGTTGAAAATAATACGACTATAAATAAATATTCAGGTTAAGACACATATATCTCATTTCTCCTAAAGAGATTCAAGCTTAATGCTATAACCTATATCGATCCAACAATATATTGTTGACTTGTTTCTTTCCTGAAACAACAACCTAGCAACATCATATAACTTCAAATTAGTTAAAGAGTCAAAGTTCCACCAATACAACACCTTTATTCAATATAAAATTACTCTCTTTTGTGTAGTGAATTAGTTTGAAGACTTGTAACTTTCTTTGTCTCGAGACTCTCGATTCTCTCAGTCACTACACTAACCTATAATACATTTCATCTACTCTTTTTCCATCTATTACAACACAAAGGAAAAAACATCCTTTATATATAGTTGTAGAATTTTTTTAGAAGTAATTAAATGTCAAGAAAGTGGATAGTTATTTTGAGGAATAGTGAGACAATTAGTAGAAAATAATGAGAAAACAGATCATTGTGATTATAATGAATTACACAAAATAATAACACCACTTTATATCTACTAATTATCACTTTAATATTTTAATTTTATTATTTAAATGCACTTAGAGCAACATTTATAAATTTACCCCCATTATAATATTGTACTTGTCTTTTTTCCCTCTTGTTTTGTCATGAGGAATAGTATTAGACAATGAAGGGTTTTGTCTTTTTTCCCTCTTGTTTTGTCATGAGGAATAGTATTAGACAATGAAGGGTTTTGTCTTTTTTCCCTCTTGTTTTGTCATGAGGAATAGTATTAGACAATGAAGGGTTTTGTTTTGTTTCTTTTAATCATCATGTGAGGCGATAGTATGATCAAGATAATGTACTATTATAGTTGAGTTAATTAAAAAATAGATTTAATTTGTCTGTTGAGTACTTGATAATTAAGTCAACCAAGCATGTGGGAGGTGCAAAATATTATAAACTATAGTATATAATATTCCTAAACATTATTCTTATTACTATGCCAGATTTTATTATTCAACCAATTGTGCAATGGGCTAGGGACGATGCCCATACATGACAAGAGATAAAAATTGGACGCTCCTCAGCAACATCAACAAATTAAAATAATTTCCCCATAAACTTAGTTATTTTTTTTCTATTATTATTATCTGAATAGAAATTTGATATTTATACCAACAAGCACCTAAAAGTAAGCACAATTAGCCTCTTGTTTGACTCTCGGATTGTGAGAAACAACAACAACACACCTAATGGAATCCACATATGAGGTCTGGAGAAGGTAGAACGTACGCAGATCGTATTCCTACCCCGTGGAGGTAAGGAGACTATTTCTGGAGGAAAAAAATATATGACCACTAAAGCCTCTCCCTGATACATAGAAATTTTGGAAGAACTTGATTAGGTTACTATTTTCCCTCATTGCTTTAAAATATTATTTCCTCTGTCCCAATTCATATGACGTCTTATGAATTTCGAGATTTAAATAAATCTAATTTTGACTCGTTAATTCACAAGGGAGGGATCGTGGAAGCGTCAACCTAACGACGAATTCAAACTTATATATAACAGTGACATTTTAATATTAATTAATTAAGGTCTATTTCACAGCCTCATTAATTATTATGTGGAGAATCAGGTTATTGGTTACGGTGGACAACTGATCTATAAATTAGAGAAAAAAGAGTCCTAATTAATTAGCTTTGTTTTGTATTATATGGAAGGATGCATGTCCCACACCAAGGTCAAACTTTTTTTGTTTTCTACAATCACTATCAAAGCATCCTTTTGTATAATTTTTATTTATATTATCATGCTTTTAAGGCCACTTTGAGTTAGGTAGTTTTTGTACCGGATGAAATATTTTCTACAGCAGCAAAATTAATAGTGGTATCATATACATATGCATATGCCAGATGATTCAAGTAATTATCAATCTATTTGGGCATTTCAAAGATGTTAAACTCATTATTATGAAATAAATAATCTAATGCTTTGAAAAATACGCTTTTGTTGTTAGAATGAACAATTCAGGTGATAGAGTTTTACTACTCTAGTAGAGTGGAAGAAACTATGAATCTGACTATTAATAAGAAGAGAGTATCAATTGTTAGCCACAATTCTCCAAATCATATGAGTAACTCCTTCATCAAAGCTCATACGATTCAACACATTTACTGAGAAGCTTCAATTCACACTTTCATAAGTTATAACCATATCTAGTTTAATAACAACATTTGCATGCTTTCTCCTCTTTCTGATATCTGTAACGATCTCTTGTGTCAATAACACATTTTGTGAAATACTCTTTCCCTTCACAAATCCTAACTGATTCTAGGAAATCAGTCTAGGTAATAAGCTTTCCAACTACAAAACATATGCTAATCAATTGAAGTGAAGTCTTAATCAGACCACCACACAAGTTTAAATATTACAAATTTTAAGTATAATTACATACGGATGGATACAACGAATGTAAATTTCTGCATAGATTATTATTACCATGATATATCCTTCTACCTTTAGAGAAAAATTTCTCGTAAAATTCCTTACAAGATTGAAAAAATGATAATGGCAACTTATAAAAACACCTACACAAGAATAAATACTTGAGTAGTGATGGAATAAATTATAAATGTATTTTATAAGATATTTTTGTTAAATCCAGTAGCCCAAGCTTAGATCGAAGCTTTCGAAATTCACCATTAATGGTGCGAGACTGACTTCATCGATAGAGCATAAGAGAAAACAAGGATTTGGAAACTGATTTCTTATTTCTGAAAACTGATTTAGAATGAGTACAGAGTATCTATTTATAGAATCAGACTAACAACATCTATTCTAACTAATATGAATCAATACCAAGTAACAATTAAATATCTAACTAACTAACTTGCAGCTTAACTAATTCATAACCGACTTCCGGACTTGTATCTTGTATCTTTAGCTTCAATACCCCCTTCAAGTTGGTGGTGAGGCAATCACTGCCAACTTGGACAAAACAGTGGAATGCGCAAATCCAGTGAGAGCTTTAGTAAGAATGTCAGCTAGCTGATGATTTGTACCAACATGATGTAGAGTAATGAGTCCTTCCTTAAGCTTAGTCCTAACAAAATGGCAATCTATTTCAATGTGTTTTGTACGCTCATGAAACACAGGATTTCGTGCAATATGTAGAGCAGATTGACTATCACAATAGACATGAAATGGATCACTATTGGGAATAGTCAACTCATCAAATAATCTTTGCAACCATACTAACTCACCAACCACCTTCCTTAAGGATCTATACTCAGCCTCAACAGAAGATAAAGATATGATTTCGTGCTTCTTGGATTTCCAGCTCACAGTACTGTTCCCGAGTAAGACAACATAACATGTGACAGGCTTTCTTGAATCAGGACATGAGGCCCAATCTGAGTCACAAAAGGACCTCACTCTATAATCATCTGAATTAGACATAAAAATGCCCAATGTGAGGTCTTATTTTAGATATCTCAACATGTGGAAGGTTGCTTTCAAGTGTGGTTCTCTAGGTGCATGCAAAACTGGCTCAAGTATTGGAATCCATAGGCAATGTCCAGCCTTGTATTTGTTAAAAAATTAAGCTTGCCAACAAGCTTCCTATAATATGCAGGGTCAGAAAGCAAAGACCCCTCTTCAACTTTGAGTTTTACCAGGGGATCAAGAGGAGAAGAAAGTATGGAGAACTGGTTGCAGTTGTACTATTTGAGTAAGTCAAGAGCAAACTTCCTTTAAGAAATAAGGATCCCATCTTCTTCCTTGTATAGAACCTCTAAACCAAGAAAATAATACAGCTTCCCAAAGTCTTTTATTTTGAAGATGTCATGCAGAAAGGACTTGAGACTGTTAATCTCAACTAGATCAGTGCCCGTAAGCAGTACATCATCAACATAGACTGCTACAAACACAATAGAAGAACCTGACTTTTTATGGAATAATGAATAATCATTCTAACCTCTGGAATTAAGAGCATCAGTCAACCTTGCATATCATTGTCTACTTGCTTGTTTTAGACCATATAAAGATCTATTTATCTTACAAACTAGGCCAGATCCAACATCCAATCCTTGTGGTACATCCATGTAGACCTCCTCATGCAGTTCCCCATGAAGGAATGCATTGCTAACATCCAACTGAAAAATTTCCCAATGTTTCTTAGCTGCAGTGGCCAACAAGCTCCTCACTGTTGTCATTTTCACAACGGGAGAAAATGTTTCAGTGTAATCAACCTATGCATGTTGTGTATATCCTTTCACCACTAGTCTAGCCTTTAGTATCTCTATACTCCCATCTGCTTTATGTTTGATCTTATACACTCATTTGCACCCAATTGGCTTCTTACGAAGAGGTAGGGGAACCAGGTCCCACGTATGATTCTCATGTAGTGTACTAAACTCCTGTGTCATAGATGTCTACCAGGCAGGGTTCATAACTGCCTCTTCATAAGACATTGGTTCACAATCATGAGATATGTTCATTACAAAAGACTGACTATCAGGTATCAATTCTTCAGGGGCAATGTGGTTTTTTGTGTGAAAAGGAAGAGAAAAGGGAAAGTGAGGTAACCTTTGGTACATGATGGATGTAATCATTCAAATATGATGGTGCTTTACGACTTCTAGTGGACTTTCTTGGTACAGGTGCCTCATCAGGAAGTGCAGCAGCAGGGGAGTTAATTGGAGTTGATGAGATTCAACAATGGTGAAACAAGGTTATGGAATCACTGATGAACTAGAGAGAAAACTGTAACTTTTATTCATGAAAAGTGAATGTATCTTTACACAATATTGGCACTATGCTATTTATAGTGTGTCTACTCATAACCTTCTAATCTAGTTAATCTAACTCAACCAGAGTTAACTTTAACTAACATTGTAACAAACTCTATAACTAACTTTCCAGTTTCACTATTCATAATAACTGACTTCTAGCTTCAACTTGTTTATAACA